GGGCAAACAGTTGCTGGTAATGGATGATAGTAACTTCTCAGGTAACTGTTTTGAGTTATGAGTGTGCTTAGGTGGTGTGTTATGTGTGTTGATTGCTCAACTCCTAAAATGTAGCAATTTTGTATCTTGATGCTGGTATTCTTTTTCTCCATTTTTTTTAAACAGAATGTATAGATATACTGATTAAAGTCAGTGTTTGAGGATGATTAAACTGTTAAGCGTGTTTAAGCGTGGTGGAAAGTCTTGAGTAACGTTGATGAGTAAAAAGTTATGCTCTGCGTGATGAGGTTTGAGATTTGCTTTTTTGACCCCAATCTATATTCAAATTGAAAATTGAGAGAGTTAGCAGGGATGGTTGAAAAACTAAAAAAAGGGACAAAACCCTGAAAACTTGAGCTAATCAGTAATTACGAAAAGTAAGAAAAAGAGAGAACAATCCAATGTCCTGGTGGAAAACGTGATCCTAGAAAGGAGCTGGACTATTCTGTCGTCAAACCACACATCAATGATGTTTTTTTTTTTTTCGTCAACTATCTCAAAATTATAAAGACAAAACTTGAGTCATAGTCAAAATGTAGAAAGAAAGTTTATGAGCGTCAAGACCAAATAGTACTTCAATGCACAGCATGACAAAGCAAATGCACTTGTTTTTTCTCTCGTAAGAAGTTGCACAAATTAAGCTACATATTCTCAGGCTGTCTCTAGATAGAATCATAGAAAAAAAAGCCTAATTAAAAAAGACTATTAAATAAATGAATAAATATTTAAAAAAAATCTTATTTTTCTAGATTTTGGAATTGATAAATTACCTATGGGTTACAAAGATTTTTAATAATTTACATTCAAACAGTCATTAGAAACAAGGAGAAGAAAATAAAAACTATATCACTGCAAAACATATTTATTATCACACAATTGTTCTAACCGAACATCATAAGAAAACAAATAAAATATTTAGGGTCTCAAATTTCCACACAAAATATATATTTTGTCATCAACTCATTCATTAATTATCCCATTTATTTGTATAATGGGCCAAACTCATTACAAATACATAACATTTAAAAAAAAAGGGGAATTTTCACATATGCTATACGTTTGTAAAGTATTTGCTGATTTACCATTCAATGTAATTTATTTGTGTCTATACCTAAAACACAGAAAGTAATTAAAAACTTGCCTAAATAACAGTTACACGAGATATACCAACTTTCCATGTTTATAGGGCATGATTTCAGGTATCAAGATGGAAGAATATAACGTTTGAATTTGAATTGAGATACGGAAGGTACAAAAAAGAAAGAGAACACGCCGGTGACGATCAAATCCTGACAAAATCGACGGATGTTCTTCATCCATTAAAAAAAAAAAAAAAATAGCTTGCTTTTTTCAATCGATTGTCGCCGATTAAAGATTTGCATGAAGAGGTAAAAAATAATTGCGGTGACGATCAAATCCTGCGGCGAGCACTCTACAACCGAACAACACTGAAGAACAAATACATACAGGCCAAAAAGATTCGGAGGTATATTTTTTTTTTTTTGGGTGTTAAAAATCTCTGCCGAGCGATCATCAACTTGGCGTGTTTTGAATATTTTGTTACTGATTTCGTCCCCCTTTTTTATTTTTTATTTTTCGCCAGATGGATCCGAATATGATGATTTTCATACATCATGGTGGTGAATGGGTGATGAATGAGTACGTGAATTACCAACTATCTGGTATTTTGGTTCGGAAAGAAGGCAGCTTCAACGAATTTTGTGGTATATTATGTGAGGAGCTCGGGTTGATACGTCAATCATCTGTGCTTGATCTAAAATATAAGCTGAAAGAAGGTAGTCCACTAATTTCGATAAACAGCGATAGGAGCCTGACCTTCTATGTATTTTTGGTGTCCAAAGAAGAGGACTATGCAAAATATCCGGTGTGCGTTGTGGTGAAATCTCGGAGTACTGTTGAAAATTCGTTTGATGAAGAATTGAATATAGGGGCTGTGAATGGTGAATCAGACGTTGCTCCACTGTGTTATCCGGAACTTGACAGGCAACATGGTAGATCAGATGGCACGATAAATTTCATGTCGTTCGCGAGGAACGTTGCTGCAGAGATGGTGGAAGTGGCAGCATCTACGAAAAATATACTTGACATATACCCAGGTTCTGAAATGCGGTTGACAGTGGAGGAAAATTTTGACTCGGGTATTGTTGCTGGTCTCTTACTAAAGGATAAGGAAACGTTACAAACAATGTTGACCATGCATGCACTAAAGCATCAGTATCAATTCAAGGTTGACAAGTCATGCTCAAAACAATATTATGTCAGGTGTGTATCGAATGATTAGTGTCCTGGTATATTTAAAGTATATTCTGTAATATTTGACTTATATTTTTTATATATGTAACACTCTTAATATTTTGTCAGGTGTGTCTCGAGCGAGTGTACATGGTTTGTGAAAGCTTTCCGTATGGGTCGGTCAAACACTTTTAAGATAAGAGACGTGGGGACTGTACATATATGTGGTTTGGATGTCCGTACTAGTAATCAGAGACAGGCGACATCAACACTAGTTAGTAGTTTCATCAAGTCAAAATTCACAAACAATAAAACTGCATATAATCCGGGTGATATCATTGACGACATGCAAAATCGGTTTGGGATAAACTTGACATATCACAAAGCATGGAGGTCGAAACGTAAAGCTGTTGATGAAGTACGTGGCAAGGTTGATGAGTCATACAATTATGCTCATCAATATCTTAGTAAGGTACGTGCATCAAACCCGGGCAGCAATGTGATGATGCGCACCACATGGGATAAGAATTTCATGTATGTTTTCATGTCACTCGGTGCATCTGTCAAAGGGTGGGTACATTGTCGGCCAATTGTTATTGTCGATGGGACATTTTTGACGTCGGTATATGGAGGAATTTTATTGACAGCCTCTTGTCAAGATGCAAATTCTCATATATTACCGCTTGCATTTAGCGTTGTTGACTCCGAAAATAACAATTCCTACCTCTGGTTTTTCACAAAATTGCATGAAGTAGTTGGTGATAGGGACGGTCTTTGCATTGTTTCGGATGGTCACGAAAGCATAAGGCACGCAGTAGAAAAGGTACCATTATATTTCTAGTAACAATTTAGTATTTAGTCTGCAGAATATACTCTCTTCTCCAGTTCACTCTTTTTTTCTTCAAATATTAAACGCTCATTTCGGGGATAGTATATTTTTGGTAACAGTTGGGCATTATTTTCCGTGATTTAGAATATATTGGCAATGCACAGTTAAGTATTATATTTATTTAGTAACTGTTATATTTGTAGAAATTAAATAAGTATTGAAAGGGTATATTTCTAGTGACGGTTATATAGTATATTTGTATAGTAACAATTAAGTATTTATTCGGCAAAATATAATCTGGTCTCGTTTTGTTTTTTTTTAATTTTTTTATTTTTAAATATAATTTGTTCCCAGCTATTAGTATATTTTTGGTAACAGTTTGGCATTATTTTTCATGATATATAATATCTCAGTCATTTGCTTGGTTATATATAATTTATTTAGGTATTCCCTAATGCGGCGCATTGTCTGTGCACCTATCACATCTCAAATAAATTGAAGATGCGTTATAAGACGGAATCACAGGCAGTGAAAGAGGAGTTTTATGCAGCAGCAAGGGCCTATACGGAAGAGGAATTCAATAAGCATATAGCACAGATGAATAAGCTGAATCCAAATGTGGTACCATATCTTGAAGAAATCGGATTTCACAAGTGGGCAAGAGTTCATTGTCCCAATAATAGATATTTTACCATGACATCTAACGCTGCTGAGTCAGTAAATGCTGCCATACGATCCGTCCGTGATCTACCGATAACTCCACTACTAGAGGCGCTTAGAGATATGCAACAGCGGTGGAATGTGGCAAACAAAGATGAAGCAAAGGCCACTTTTACTCCTCTTGCAAAGAAGCCACATAGGTGGTTGGAAATGAATTACCAAATGGCAGCAAGATACTCAGTGAGTGTTATTAATTTTATTTTTCATTTGTATACCTATTACATACTATATAGGTACTAGTAAATATCTAAAATATACCTTAAAAATACTGTAATATACTATATATATACTAAATTGTGTAACAGATACAGAAAGCCAATGACAAAGTGTATAAAGTGATGGCTGATGGTAAGGCATTTATAGTAGACATTGAAGATAAGACTTGCACATGCCACCGCTTTCAAGTTGACGAGCTGCCATGCCCGCACGCTATACGTGTGATCAAGTCACTCCACCTGGATCCGGTCCCCTTCTGTTCTGAGTATTACTTAACCTCTTCTATGTTGGCAACTTATGAAGAAGCTGTGATACCAATAGAAGGAAATCAAGCATTCATATTTAATGCACCGTCTGTGCAAAGATTGGTAAATCCTCCAGATGCAAGAGTGAGGCCAGGTAGACCACGCAAACAACGATTCAAGTCGGGATGGGAGCATAGATCCAAAAATAGATGCAGCAAATGTCACGAGAAAGGTCACAATGTAAAAACTTGTCGTAATCCAATACGATGAAATCATTACCATTGACGTGTACAGTATATGATGGTTTTTGAGTTTATTGTTGCTTAATACCATATCTTCTTATTTTTTCGTGTTTTTATTTCATGTGTGTGAAAGCAGCGTGGA